TGGGACAGAGGGAGAGGAGGCAGAGAGCAGGAGTATATCAGGTGCCAGGGGGGGCAGAGGATCCGGAGAAAGAGTAGCAACCACACTGGGGGTCCAGGGCCGGCTGGTCTCAGCAGTGTCGATGGCTGGGGTGTCAGAAGTGCTATCATACCAATGGCCTTGTTCAATCTGTGGGGGGTCAACCTTGTCAGCTCCAGATGCATGGGTTCGAAACGCAAGTCTCGGATTCTATAGGAACTCAGCCATCCATGGCTTGTTTTTTAGGAGATCTTGCATCGACCGAAGCTTCTCTTCCTCCCAAGGCCCAGAAGGCTCAGAGCCAGCCTGCAAGGAGGAGCTTTGAGGGCAGCGATGAGAGGGACTTTGGAGACAGCAACAGGAGGGACTTTGGAGGTGCTGATGGGAGAAACTTTGGGGGCGGCGATAGGAGGGACTTTGGGAGCGTTGATGGGAGGGACTTGGGGTGTGGTGACGGGAGGGACTGCAGGAGCGGTGACGGGAGGGACTGCAGGAGTGGCGACGGGAGGGACTGCAGGAGCCCTGATGGGAGGGACTTTGGAGGTGCTGACTGGAGGGACTTTGGAGCCACTGACAGGAGGGACTCAAGGGGTGCTAACAAGGGGGACTTTAGAGGTGGTGACGGGAGGGAGTTTGGAGGTGTTGATGGAAAGACTCTTTATGTTCCTGGTGATGCCATTCTTGGTGCCCACGAGACACGGCAGCCGGAATCACACTTCGTGGCGGCATTGGCGCCCGGGTAGAAGCAGATAGCTGGCTGGTCGTTCTGGTTGCTTGTGCCATGGGGGCTGGGAATCCGGAGTAACAAGATACAGAATGCGTGGTGGAGTGAGAACATCCACGAGTGACAGCAGGTCGGCGCCAGGGTACATAGGATTTGGAGAAAGATTCACTCTCCAACATGGTTGGAGATTCTTGAGAGCGTGGTGCATAGTCCTATGTGGGTAGTTGGCTCTGGAGCTTTTGCTCAAGTTAGCTGTTCACAGTATAGCTTTTGAAATTTACATTGTCAAGAGAAACTATCTCGAGGCCCAGGATTGCCGGACCCTCCTCTTCCTCCTCCCCCTCATACTCGCTTTCCTCCTCTTGCATGGCCTCTCCCAGATCTTGCTCCTGGACCTGACGATCCCAGAGACTCCGGTCAAAGAAGGGATACCAACCGCGTCCAGGCTTGGGCGTCTGCCTCTCTACCTCCTCCTCACATAACTCCAGCACCAGCATATCCAATGAATCTTTAGCCTCCCACTGGTTTGCTAGAAGCTATTTCTGGATCTCATCATCTCCATATAAGACGATAACATCCGAGAGAGTGAGAGGTTTTGTAGGGTCCCAGTACAAGGTGCTGAAACCATGAGGAGTCACACTGAGAAGATAGCGGGAGTAACCGAGGGCCTCTTCCACTCATTGTGCTAAAACCATTCCCAGCAGATCTCTCATGCTCAGGGATGTGAGGATACCCCAGGCTACACCCCCGTCCTGCTCAGGGGAGTACCAGGGGTGAACACAGAACGGATGCTCTACCGGGGAAGCACCCGTCCAGCGCACGATGTGGATCCTTATCACCCGAGGGTACTAAGAGGAGGTCCAATCGATTGTAGCCACTGGTGAAATCCATAAGTACTATTGAAACTCAACATGAATGGCAAAGAATACTTACTCATCCTTTCCTCTGCCACGCCATCCCCCCCCTCCTCCTCCACATTGTGATGCTTGATTGTCATCTGAAGCTTCTTGGCCATGTCCGGAACCAAGAGCCTCAGCTGACAATAGAGCTTGACAACGTCATTGGTGCGATATTGCTTTTTCAGCAACTCGACCTGAATTGAAACAGGGGGCAGGAAGCGGGTGAATGCCAGGACCAACTCCAATTGTGTATCAGTAAGCTTGTTGGGGTTCCATGCAAGCGTGATGATGTAGGCCTTCACCTGGTCGCGCCATGAGAGGTATGCTTTGCTGGGGCAGTGGGGGTCTGGGAAACCGTACCAACCTTTCGCAAACGCAATATCACCAAAGCAACCTCCCGAAGACTGATGTATGTTAGTTCTGATCCTGCAATTCACTCCCTTGGGGTTGACTTACTTGGAGTCCTCAACAGCTGGTGTGAATGTGGGCCGCTCACTAGATGCCTGATGACGACTGCATATAGACGAATCATTATTAGCTTGGTCCATCCTTGTTTGTACCATCATCAAGACTGTTTGATAGGGGGGTTTGTTGAATTTTCTAATTCATTTCATATGTATATTTTCTTTGATAATATCGTATATTCCTCTACTTAGTATTATTTCTTGATTATAAACATTACTTCAGCTGGAGTATGTATTACGTATATTTCATTTGATATTTCATGATACGATTAGGGATTATAGCGTGCTTTCTTATCTAGTGTTCAGGTTTATCTCTTACGATTTATCTATTCACACCACTTCAAATACATGCATGTTTTATAGGATTTCCTTGGCAGTTCTTCAGGGTCAAACATGCTCGCACTTATGTTTTCCTACTTATGTTACAGTCAAACATGTCGACATTTATGTTTTCCTTTATATATTCCCTTGGTTACTCGAAGGATGCACACCTATATAAATAGGCGTTACCATCCATCTCATTTTAAGAGATTAAGGACAAGAACTACTACCAATCTACCTTCATACCAAACTCCTTCTCGCTTAACGTGCCCGTGGTATACTCACTCTACTACGTCATATTTTCGTACAAAAGTTATTAAGATAGTGCCGTACTGTACACATTCAAACTGGGTTTACTTACATTCTTTCAGATTCCACCACTAGAGCTCCCACACATGGAAGGATCTTTCAGTACTTGCCACAGGCCAGGTCCCTGGAGTGCCATTGGAGGGCCGGATGCCTGATAGAATATTAGCTTTGGTGGCTCAACCACGGGGGGAATATCTATACTGGCTTTCCCTTTGCAGACAATGTCGGTTTTGTCTTAGGTAGCGGCATGGTAGCCCTTTGAGGATGTCATGGATCTAGTGAGCATTTGAAAGAAAAAAGGTCTCAATGGGGGATGATGTGCGCCGGAACGTAGCAAACTGAATGAGTGGAAATTGTTGGAAAGTGGGAGGACAAAGAAGGACAGGAGGAAGTGAGTGGGAGAAGAAGGATGAGAGGAAGCAAGTGGGAGAAAGAGGGGAGGGGTAGATCAGACAAGAGGCGGAAGGAAGCCAGCTTATACGTTGGGGTTGTTCTCTAAACGAGACACCGTATTGATGGCCCCTGGTTTTTCCACTTATCATAGCGCCAGGGACCATAAGTCATGGTGTTGCAGTATAAAGTAAGTGGTAAGTGTACAGGAAAGAGGCGCCAGCAGATCACTTGGCGTAACAGAGGAATTTTGCCAATTTAGTAGTTTATGCATATCGAATAGCTATTGAGATAAATGGCGATTCTTTACCGTAATGTGCTGAATCTACATCATGTAGGTCTAGAGTTATTGTAGTAGATAGCCAAACCTAATTGCTATAGCCCCCCTCCCATCACAACAGTTGCCTGTCGGGTACGGTACTCTTTAACGGCTGCAGATACTGCTCAATAACTCTTAACCATGCTGAGGTACCGCATGTGACCCAGTGTTGCATCATCCTGGCCAACAGTTGGCTGGATCCAACACGCCCTCCTACATTCCACGACGAAGGAAGACATGCACAGAAACCTATATAAAAGAACACAATGTGCGCATACCAATCTTGATAAGGAAAAGCCAGGGATGATAAATCTAAAAGCTAATATTTTATATCTAGGTGTACACGATATCAAATGCCCATCGGCTGGTAGTTCAATCCTTTGCATCTCCATCTGATGCATCCCTGTCATGGTACCCCAAAAGCCGTCGCTTCTGTCCCGACTAGTGACTAGCACTTTCTAGAGGACTCGTAGCACGGCGCTTCGGGACCTTCTCGTTCTCCTGTGGAGGGAGCGTTGGACGGCACAATTGTTGACTACTCAGATGACTGAGTAGTTTAAGTTTCAGAAGTCCAGGATTTGCAAGAGACTTCTCTGGTCCTACCACCAGGGGCTTTAAAAACTGATTCCTTGATTCCATGTCTCCTAAGTGTTCCTCAGGTTGAATATCGTGTATGGATAGGCTAGAGAAGGACAGCATCGCACTCTCATCGAGTTAATGCTGTTCAAGTTGTTTGAGCAGCTCATTAGTCGGCCTGCCATCACCGGCAGTAGCAGATCCGGAATTTGCTGCAGATTCCTGCTCAGATGTCAAGAATTGCATCTGGCTTACCTGTGCAGCCTGACCTCGAGCTATACAACTCACCGCATCTTCCAACAGATATGATCGCCCTCTCAAAGCAGGCATCTCTGGCTGCACATCTCCATGATCGCGATAACAGTAGACTAGGAGATCCAACGAGTCCTCATATATAGGGTTCGATAGCAGCCATGTCTGCAGAGTTTCATTTCCGGCAATGAAGACAAATTCTACTAATGATAGAGGTTCACCAGGGAACTCCCAAAGCATTCTGTGCCCTTCACTTGTGGGACCAAGGATATAGCAGATACAGCACAATGGAACCCATCTCCTAATCATAGCACATAATCCGTCCATATCGCTGGTTTCTAATTCAGCAAATTTAACTCCATAGACATAGGACTGACGCCAATAGAAAGAACAATGGTTTGCTGGCCTACTTGCTACATTCTTATTCTCACTATGTAGGCCCTGTGCACATCTTGATGAATGGACCCAAACAATATGTACTGCACCTGGGCGCCCAAGTGGCAAGTTCCAATCTACAAAGTCAATGTTTATAAGTAAGTGCTCAAATCTAGCACCTTTGGAGAACTAACTAACCTGCTGACAATGGACTCAATTGTTCTGGGGCATTTGGTGGACGCATCTGAGCGACCACTTCAGCTGGAGAATCACAAGGTTGATGGGAGTTACTGTAATGAGCCTGATGTCCTGTAAGAACATCTTCTCGGGGCCATGCTTGAGGATCGTCCTCGCCGTCGTCTGGTGGCCGCTTTGGGAGACCATGTGGTACCCGTTTCATTCTTGTAGGGCGGTCATAGTGATCGCCCTGATCTTGGACATCAGCCCATTCTATGGGAGCCCATGCTTGATCTTGGGCCAGTCCAGCTTGACTACCAGGATCCTGTTTATGCGTTGGGCGTCGAGGTGCATTCTGGCACCCTGCCATGGGGGCTCCTACCTTGGGTACCAATTATGCTGGATACCAGTGAACCAGGATACTCTCTTCTGGGATGCCCTCTTCATGGGCATCTCCCAGTGCAGGACCTTGACATGTGATCTGGCCATCCTCTCCATCCAGGGCCCTTTGCCAAGCAGGGTCTTAAGACACACTCGGCTCTGCTTCCACAGCTGGATCCCAGTGAGGCAGAGCGCCAGGGGGCCGCAAGGTCTCATCAACAATAACACTCGGTAGGTCAATTTGCGGAGCAGCTGGCTCCTGGTCCGCATCACATTTAGTCAGAATGGTATGTGTGAGTTTTTTTCCTACATTCTTAATGAATTGAATGATGGCGTCGTCTATCTCCTGAATCCTTTGTATGTTATTCACAGCGTCTGCTGCTACAAGTAAATCACCTGCTAGACGCAATCTGCTCATCCCCTTCCAAATCTCGCCGAAATCCTCATTGGGCAAAGAGTTGATATCTGTATAGTTCCTTGCTGACAGTTAATCTTTGACAGTGTTGCACCATGCCTTATAGACAGGATCATCTCGAGCGGTTCCGAAGTTAAAAGAAGTCTTATATTGACTTATAGGCCAGCCGCCTGGACGCTGAGCATTAAGCTGCCCAGTAAGTGAAATGGTTGGAAGTATGTAGACCCTGCTTGGCTGGCGCTCCTGTCCTGACAGAGCTTTTTGTAAATTTGTAGAATTTGGATTGTGGACGTAGCGGAGATTGCTGTTCTCTGGCACCATGTCGTCAGATTCTCTGCCATGAGAAGGTCGATATTGTGAGCGCTGTGTATGTGGAATGTGGTGTTAGTTGTAGATATTTCACTTAGTATGGTCTCCCTTTGGCCCCAATCAATTCACTTTATATATCAGAGTGGGAGTCATTATAGGAATCTTGAACTGCTCTTGAAATCATTTCGAAGATCATTCAGTAATTTAGACTTCAGACCTTAGACTCTCGACCTGTGGATGCCCATTGTGCACATTCAAACCACATCTTGGATCACTGTCGAACAGAACTTGAGAGATTTTCTGCTGCTTTAAAAGTAGTACTCAGAGAATACTCCTAATGCCAGGTCATGTGTATCTGCACTAAGCCACTTTAATCTTTGCTATATCTTCAAGTGTCCAAACCCCTTACCCTGCATTTATATATACCGTTACGTGTCAACATTCCCTTTGGGCCATACAACATATACATTCAAGTTGGCTTCCCTCTATTCAGTACGTTACCTCGAACTATGCCTATCAAATATTCATTCTACCACCGCAAATATGCCTCCTCAGGTCCTTATGAGAAGCATCTACGAATAGCACATGCCAGCCTGGGTGCTGTTCTCACGTCTGGCCTAATATGCCTGCTTCTGCTCTGCATAGAATCTGAACAGAATGATGATGGCGGCCTTCTTGGACAGAATGATCTGATTGATTCTGACTATGAATCCAACTTGGGTCCAAGCAGATACATCCTGAATCGTGCACATGTCCCTGATGCAGAAGCACTCAATACTGACTACCGATCCCCTGATGCCATCAAAAAGGTATATTATCTACTTGCTGGGTGATCTATTGAAGACGTGATAGGATTTGAAGAGGAGAACAGTATTCTGATCAAGGATTCATGGGCACCATTCATGAGTGCATACGGATTCAAGCTCGTGTCTTGGTTTATTCGGAGCAAGGTGTCAAAGTCATGAATTAATGAATACTTTTCAAGAGGTCTCGGGGATTCACCCTCAGCTGGCTATAGCTCTATACATACGCTTGAGAACCACCTGTGATTGTTGGATTCACCCGGATAATATCTGCGATAGTTCGAAGGCCAAGTTGATGACAGCAAGAGCACTTTGCCATTGTACTACCGGAACATACTAGACTGTGTCAGATATCTTCTGCGGTAGGCAGCATACAGAGATAATTTGGTCTTCGCACCGCGACGGGAGTATGACTACAAGGGACAGAGGGTGTACATGAAAATGCATACCGCAGATTGGTGGTAGGACGTCCAGGTAAATTATCTTCTTCTCATCAGTCATGTGAATGCCGGTTCACTGGTACCAGAAATGCTCCCACCTGGTGCGACTGTTGTTTCGATTATTGGGATGTCTGATCAGACTCATCTTACCAACTTCTCTGGAGACAAGAAGGCTTGGCCTGTATATATTACGGTTGGAAATCTTCCGTCGACTAGGCATAACAAGCCTGGATCAATGGCAATTCTCCTGCTTGGGCTCCAGCTAGTCCTGCCCAAGTGGCCAAAGTCTTCTTCTGCAAACGAACTCCAGAGACAAATCAATGTCAACAAACTCCAAAGAGTATTTGAACTCATCCTCAAGCCCTTACAGGATGCAGCACTCCATGGCGTCCTGGTTGAGTGTGCAGACGGCCAAGTTCAGAGGTGCTTCCCTATCCTGGCCACATGGATTGTAGACCATATAGAAAATATTGTGCTACATGGTGTAAAATCAAACACCTGTCCTAAATGCGAGGTCCCTGCGGATAAGTTAGGTTCAGCCAAAAAGCAACCATATCCCACTTGGGATTATGTGAAATATGATCTTCTGGAACAAGATAGTCTGGATAGAGTCATGCACTTTGACTCAGCAGCAGTCCACGGCACCTTTCATGCCCTTGGCGTCCAGGTAGGGTGAAATGCTTTTCATGGACTTCCACATGCTTCAGCATCCAATCTGCATCAGTCAGATTTGCTATATGCTATTTATCTTGGACTACTCAAGCACATAATGGACTGGGTTCAGGGATTTCTCAAGAAGCATGGGTGACAGCAGGCCTTTGATGACATCTGGAGTATATTACCACCCTATCCGGAATTCTTTGTCCTCCAAAAGGCCTACAGTGAGGATACACAGTGGTAAGGAAAGGAAATGAGGAACCTAGGACGTTGCCTCTTAGGGGTCCTTGCTACAGCTCTCAGACTGCCAGACAGTACGCAAGCAACGCCTTTCAAATATGCGCTCATCTGCATCTGGTCATTGCTCGATTTCAGTTTGATGGCTCAATACCGTAGCCATACCCCGGAGACCATAGATTATATGGAACAATATCTTGCCTGTTTTCATTTGATGAAGGATAGCTTCTGGAAGTTTCAGATATCTAAAAGGACATGAGAAAACCTCCACGACCAATGAAGAGAGTAGTGATGTCTACCAGGGTGTGTGGATTAATCTCTCAGCAAATCCAAGCAGCGTCGGATGCAGGAAGCACATCGTGGGAAGGACAATGACTTATGCCTAGAACTGATCCATGCCGAATCTCATTTTAACTTTATTAAGATGCATCTGCTCAGCCATTTTCCAGATCACATATATCAGTTCGGCGACATTCAAATGTATTCAACAGAGTTTGGCGAGCTCGCATATAAGGAACAAATCAAAGATGGCTGGTGGCGTTCGAACAAAAACAACATAGCACGCCAGATCCTACAGAGCTACAGTAAACAGCATGGGATACACATGAGACTCTTGAACCTGAACGCACTTTGATGTCGAGGTACAGATCTACCTCCAGAGGCCATTGACCTGTTGAAGGTAGAAGATACCGCATCTGGGTCAGTCACATGCCGCAGGATCCTAAAGGGATAATAGCATGAAGTTTCGAACATCATGGATTTGTGCAAGGTGGTCGGAATTTCTACTAACAGCATTTGTAATAAATGGATCCGGTATAGCCGTCAGAGCCTGCCAATAGAGTGCTGGCTTCCTGAAGATCCTGCAATACTCCCACTACTTCCGACTGAACTGATGATGCAACTTGAAATTCCCATTCCTGTAATTCAGGAAACCAATGTTTCTAATGTCCACTGCCCACGGTGTATGGGTTCTTGGCTCCTTTACAAGCAACAGAGTCACAATGATTTGGTTTGGGTGCAGGCAGGAGGGAAGCACATGTATGGTGCCATCAGAGGACGTCTTCCCACTAGACTCAGGGTACTGTTCAAGATCCGGGACTACAGGCACCAAGATAGGGTCTACAGACTCGCAATGGTAGAAATGATAAGAGTGCTTAATTCCAGGCGGCCATCCGATGCCCATGGTCTCGTCACTGTAGAGCAGAGGACAGAGGCACAACAGTTTCCAATAGTAGATATTGGGCTCATTCTGGGCCAGGTGCACCTGGTCCCAGCTGGTGACCAGCGATGGCTGGTGAATAGTAGAATCAATTTGAGGACATTCAATGAGATCTATTGAGATCACATCTGAGAGAATAAATGGAGGCCCTGTGGTGTATCGGTGTATCCTGCATCGCAAGGTAGAATACACTACAGGGCCAGCAGGGAGCATCGGAATCCGTTCCATTGCGTAGTAACTCAAACTGTTGGTAGAAATAATTGGGTAATAGTAGAGTAAAAATTAATGATACAAGATTCAAGTTGAATGAGATTGTATTCAGAACCAGAGAATGTGTACTAGTAAACCAAGAACAGGGTGTGATGATGTGCAACGTGGGCCTTGTTCAGAGCCAGCATCAGCTTGAAGACAGGAGAAGATGTGGACATCGCTATGGGAGCCCGGGAGTCAAAACTTTCATTTAGGCATCAGAAAGGTGATGCCGTAGACTCAAATGTGCTAACCAGGGGCAAACATGGAGGAAACGGGAACCGAGAGGTGGCTGTCATAGCTGAGGAATGCTGGGCCTGGCAATCAAATTGGTAGTTAATGGATTGCAGTAATGGTGACTAGAAACTAGTAATCAGGAAAGGAGCGAGAACAGAGGATCAGGATGTGGAGAAAGCTTGATCTTGCAGTTGACCTCTGGTCACGGCGGCTCAGGATGATGACAAGATTGAATCAGAAACAGGACGCGGTGGGGATGTATGGGCAGATGGCGCCTACTTGGAGACGGAGGGAATCAACAGAGTAAAAAGAGGGACACAGATGACGCAGGGGGGCATTGCACTGGAGTAGTGGACCTACGGGACACAGGAGATGCAGGGGACACAGGGGACGAGTGCACTGTGTTGGGATGTGAGACACGCAGATCTGACACAAATGAATTTTTACTGATGAACAGAGAAGACGATATTTGGTATGCTAATCCTACTCGATGCCAGCTTTCCAATAGCATATTGAACATCTACCTAATGTCAATATTGGTAGAGTTACTGCATACTATAAAAAAAGTATTTACTTTAGTGAAGTGCTGACTTTAATGCCCAATTCCTTATATGTTCTTTGAGTATAGCACCTGGTACTCAGTACCTTGATTCTACTCATTGTCAGATTCTTAATCGTATATTGGATGTCTACTGAACACCAATATTGGTAGAGTTACAGCCTGTTCTGGAAGTAGTATTTACTCAAGCAAGGTTGTAGTAAAGTGCTGTCTTTGACTCTAGATTCCTCAGACACCCCATTGGACGCAGTGGCTAATACTCAGTGCCCTTGATTATTTTTACTGATGTTATTATTGTAGGATCAATACAGTAAGAGAATGTTTTAGAATAGCTGTATGATAACAGATTAGTAATAGGGTTCATTTCTTTTATTATATAAAGATATACTTTCTTCACTCTATATTCCTTACACAATCTGGTATTTTCCTCTTACCATCTGTATCTTAAACTATACTTCTTCCTCAGTCATATGACCTACACTTACAAACCTTAATCCTAAACCCCTGACATGAAACAAGTACCATGGTATGATACTTATTTACCTGAACCTGTCCTCCTATCCTGAATCCTGTCCACTCTAGTAGTGAGTCTTAAACTACCTGAACTCCCAGCCTTACCTGTTACAGAAACCTACTATTCTGTAAAACTTGACCCGAATTCATAAATAGCTGAAGCCAAACAAAGCTTTAGCCTTTAAACAATCTGAAATAAGAATGTTATAATATGTGGCACTGGTGAGAAACTGATTTCCTGCTTGTTCTTAGAGTGTCACAGTCTATAGCTGCCACTACTAATCCCATCTCCTATATCAAGCCACCCTATCCTTCACCCCTATATCAAGCCACCCTATCCTTCACCCCAAGCCTTCCCACCCCCCTCCCAGCCACCTACCCACTCACCAATCCCGCCTCAATAGTCCAACCACAACTTATCACTCCCACACCATTCCTCGACTGCTAAATAACTATTGTAATCCCACTACCACGTACTATGCAGACCCTTCCTTCGCCACCGAGATCCACCTCTCGATATCAAGCACCCCACATCGGCGGGGGCGACAACCCCAATAGTACTTGCGCTCAACAAACAGGCGTAATACTATCGTCAAAGAGGCGCACCCCCCCGTGTCCTAAACCGGATGTATCCCACACCGGCGCGTCGCGGGAAAGTGATTGTGATCGCTCTTGCGACTTTCGCTGTGGGATCCAACCTATCATGAGGAGGAAAGACGATCAGCGAAAACCATCTCAGCTCATGAGCGCTATGGGCAGGGAGTCATATCACCGTTTCAAAATTCCATCCACTAGTTGGACAGAGAGATGTGAACGAGAGGCGAATCAGAAGGAGAGGGAGCGGGGGAAAGAACAAAAAAAAGGCATACCGGGGGACCGGTGCCGATGCGGTAGATTCGAGTAACTGGATTCGATTCTGCCTTGTCCCTAATCAACCAATTAAGCTTACTATAGGTAGGCTGATACAAACCAATGATATGATAGCTAGCTAGCCTTACACCGTACCGCAGCAAGTGCAAGACCTGGGGCCAAGATAATGAAAGAGGAGGCCTGCGTGTGTAAGACCACTTTGCATAGGCTGACGAACCAGGCAGAATTCACTGTTGTGGGACCAGAGGAGGAACCTATAGAACTTCCCCGAATCCCATTTTCCGTGAAGGGGATGCTACCGTATATTGCGATAAGCGAACAAAGGATCAGTCCAGGCACGGATAGGTCTAGGAGAGTGTATGTTACGATAAGGGTACCATTTAATTGACCAGCATGGGTACGACATACTGTGGGGTTCCACCGCACTGCACTGTATCGTACTGGCACTTACACACCTGCCTATTATACCTGATATCAAAAGGTGCGCTGAATCAACGGATCAATCGACCGACGTCTAGAAATTAAGTGCTCTAAGAACATGTACTGCCATCAGGCTGGTGGCAACCCACAGGAGACAAACATAGGTTGGGTAGAGTGACAAATCGCAAAAGGGAAGACTGGGCAAAAATACGGTACAGGGAGGGGCCACCAACAAATTTAGCAACAATAAAAGGAAGGAAAATGGAACCCTGGACCCGAACCCAAATGCTAACCCAACCCCTCCAGAAAAACACTTCATCGCAATGAAGGGAAGAAACCTGAAAAACGAGATCGAGGAGTTGAGAAGAGGCAATGCATTAGCCAAGAAACCAATATTGGTCCTCAATGCGCAACAATGCTAGGATACTAGGGTACAATGGCGGATGAACAACAGCACCCAAAGACTACATAGATGCTTCAACCCACAGAAGAAAAATCAACACACGACGCCTACCACCGAAATATGTGAATGACAGTACAGTTTGTGGGCCCTGGCCATCATGAAGTCTCCCAGCGCATGAAACTTAAAGGAGCAGGGAAAAGGAAACGAAAAAAGAAGGGGCGAGAACAACCTAACTATGCAACAAACCCAAGAACCGTCTTCTCACCATTTCCGAAAAAAAAAATATGGAAAAACAACGTAAAAGATACTCCGAACGGCACAAAGGCTAAAAGACGTAAAGGGATAGAAAGAAAAAAAAAAGAAAAAATAGTGGGCAAGGTATATGGGCCCACACGGGGTAGCTGATAAAACAGTCAACACGATCCATCCAGTCCAATGTAGGGAAACGACTGGTGAAGGGAGAGACAATTGGTCCAGACCGGGGGAAACCGTGAAGATACCAAAACGTTTGTTATGACGCAGTAACAGCACCTAGGGGATCCTGGGCAAGGGGATCCGATGCAGCCGGAGGCGGAGCATGGTCTGACTGCTCTTTTTCGTTAACCCCTTGGCCTCGGCATAGAGGACACGAATTGCGTCCAGTAGTCAGCCACTAAAGATAGTCAGAATGATTCTATCAAAGACTCCACAACTATTCTCCTACCTCATCAATACAGTCTTTGTGGAAGACATGTTGACATTTGGTTAGCTGGCGACACTGCTCACCATCCTCGTAATCACCTAAGCAGATCAAGCATCTGTCCCCCTCGGCGATTTCGGCGCCAAGGGCACCTCCATCACCAAAGGTGAAGATCCCACCAGCAGAATTGACATCGTCCCTAGTTGCTACAGGGGGCTTCGCCGGACCGAGCAAGGATGAGAGAAGCATCATATCTTCGTACGTTGGAGCCTACAAGTTCAATATTAGCGAACTGAACAAACGTATCCGCCTTCAGGGCAGAATTAATTCCCAAGTCCACAACCCGAGAATTGATGCTTACATCAGTGAACAAGCTCGGAGTCGTGAGGATTGGGTGATCCTCCGGGTACGAGCCACCAAGTACATAGATAATCCAGCTTCTAGTACCCTCAGGACTACCCGAAGGACGCCTGCTGCCACCAGACCCGCCACCCCCGTTTGCGGAACTAGTGCTACCTGAATTGCTGCTTCCTCCAGACCTCCCAAGTGGTGGCAAAGCCTCCGGGCTGCTCAGACGCCGCGACAAACGCCGGCGCGATGGTTCCCTCCCACTTCCATACTCCACTCCGGTATCATCAGAAAGTGCATTAACTTCTGGCGAGTCGACTGGAGCTCTGGATTCAGGGGCAGGCGGCTCCTGACGGAAGATTGGCATGCCGGGATCGGCTGGAGAGGAAGGAGGTGGGAGTGCCCCGGAGGAAGATTCGGAGAGGGATGGTGGAACTGGCAAAGTATCAAGTTCAGACGTTGGCCTGAACGACCCAACAGACGCCCCACGAGAATGTCTTTGGTTATCAAATCCAAATGAGCTGCCAGGCGCACCACCCACTGAAGCTCTTCTATGGCTATTGCTGAGCCTTGGTCTACGGTGAATACTTGGAATATTGACAGGAAGATTGGCGAGAGCGTCAAAGAATGGAGCTGGCCTGTTGCCTTCTGCCTCTGTTGTATCTCTTGGGGTGACGGAACGAATCCCTACAATAATAACCGGAACCATTCGGGACCGAGAGCCGTCAGGACCCTCCTCCCTACCGTGATCTGCATTCGAATTGGCGTTGCTCCCAAAGCGGAACATCCGGAAGAAATTAAGTGGAGGCATGACCGACTCTGCACGTTCGCCATCCGCTGGCGTCCCCCCACCCAATTCATTTCCACCATTTCTAAGGGCCGCAGCCAGACGTCCATTTTGGAGAGCTCTTAAGAAAGACTCAAAGCTCCCATCCCCCCCGTTATCCCCAGCGACATCTTCAGCCTCTCTAATTGCCTGCTCAGTCCCTCCAACGAGCGACGCTGCCGTAGCTGCAGCGGCGACGGAAAGTAACCTCGACAACATCGCAGCCTGATCTTCCCCCGGTCTTACGCGAGCAGGGTTATTGTCGAGCTCATCCATCAAAGTTCCGGCGCCACTGGCAGGGCGATCTTGTCTGGACTGGGGTGTGCTGGACTGGGAAGGCCCGGATTGGGATACTGGGTTGGGATCTGGCGCCGAAGGCATATCTATATCAATGTCCCCACTATGGCTGTGATCACCGAATGCTGAACCGAACATACTCGCCCTACGAGACCTGGATTGCGATGGTCTTCCCGAAGGCGGGCGAGCAGAGCTGCCTGTACGAATATCCGGAAGGATGTTGGGCCACGAACTGATTGATAAGGAGGATCTAACCCTCGACATGCGCGAAGGGCGGGATTCGGCTGGGGGCACAGGCTCGGCGGGCGATGCAAAGGATGGGGTCTGTGGTTGTGGGGTAATAGTGGTGACAGGAGATATATCCATCATGTCGCCAAAGTCTGATTCAGGAATATATGTGGAGCGAGGAATGTTGCGTGGTCGCGTGCGTGGCGACGAAGGCCGAGTACGTGAGGACCCGCCGAGAGATGTAGGTGAGGGCGAGCGGGAATTTGAGAAACGTGAGCTGCGGGAACGGAAACGGATATTTTGCATCCTGTTGCCCACTGATGTCGAAGACGAACCCGGCGACATTATCCTGTTCCCGATTCTCGAGATGTGTTCAATATGATTTCGTAATCTTCTGCTCCTCCTGAGAACCGCCGTGGCCGTCTCATCTGATACCCCAGAATTAATGCTATTCCTAGTCACATTCTGAGCAGCCGAGTTTTGGCTCGCCCCGACTCCTCCATTTTGCTGCTGCTGCTGCTGTAGTTGTAGTTCTTGTTCTTGTTGTTGTTGTTGTTGTTGTTGTTGTTGTGCTCCACTCCTCCTCGTAGCCGACGTCTCCCTGCCATCCTGGGGCGTTGAAGCACCCTGGCCCATCTGATGAGAATGCAGAGTGTTTGCTGGCTCAGAAAACGCGAAGTCAAGCGAAGAGGGCACCCTGTTAAGACTGGGCTCCTCGCTGATCGGTTCTCCAGATAAAGACACTAGTGGCCCAAAGGTGATGCTGGGGTTAGGGGAGGGTGGCTGCATTTTAGCAGTGTCAGCAGAGGAACACACGAGTAGAGAGTCGTCAAAATTTGAACAAATGCCACGTAAAACAAGGGAACAAGTCAAAGAGTAAAAGAAGAAAAAAAAATGTCTATCTCTTACCAAGAGGAGCGGTGTGGTGGGTGGTGGTGGTGATGGTGCAAGGGCCGAAAGCTAAGCCGAGGGGGCACCAAGATTTGAGCAAACCACGGAGGAGGCGTCAGGCGGCAATAGAGCAACGGAGGGGCAACAGGAGAGGGAGCAGGAGGATAATGTCAAGTGGCGGGGCAAGGGGGGAGAAGAAAAGAAAAGAAAGAAAAAAAAAGGCGAGGTTATCGGGGCTGACGGTGGTTAGTGTTGAAGAGGGGGGGACTGGATGAAAGAGCCGGAAGGCGGGCTCGCTCACTCACTATACGTAGGAGTCGATGGTGGTCGTCAGTTGGCTAAACAACGGGTGGGATAGGGAAAACGAGAAGAGAGGTGAAGGAGGAGGGCAGGATGATAGTGATCAAGAGAATAGAAAAGAGAGAGACAGAAGAAGGTGGGTTAGAAGGGTAACAGTAAGCCCTGGAGATGTTTGAGCCACCTCTTGGGGAGATGGTGAACGAACGGGTGGTGGAAAGATGGAGAGGCCCGGAACCTAGTTCGGCTGGGTCATGCCCCGGTGTTGATGGAGAAGGAGGAGAAGATGGTGGTGATGATGATGATGATAATGATGAAAGAAAGGCTCACCAACGGTGAGCAGCAACAGCAGCGGAAACTAGACGAGAACAGGTCAGGTCGGTTCAAGGAGATCCGCTCAATAATTAAACGGAAGAAACGTTGAGAGAACTTATGATTGGTCGCGGCAAAAAAAAGGACAAAAATAATAATGAAAACAATGGGGAACAAAGCGCGTAGAACGGGCGACAAGTTAATCTCCACTCCTGGGTTAAGGTATCCGAAACTCAAGAACTCCGATGCGATGCGGAGGCTCCAACCATTCCCACTAACTAAATAAAAATTGTAAATGCTTCGCAGGGGGAGGTCTATCTTAAAAGGATGACTACCTTTGGGAAAGAAACGAAGCCATATTTTCCTCTATCAAGAATCCCCCCCCCCCTCACTACTTCCTTTAGCCCTTGTCGATGAATGACAACACCGGATCTCCACGACCGCAAGCTTCGGCCCAGTTGCGGACACAGGAAAACACCCGGTCGTTAGGACCCGGAAAAAAAAAAAAAAAAAAACTCGGATTACATACGCAGGCATCTCCGACATCTGACCCTTTCCACCATTTTCTCCCATAATATTATCATGCTTGTGCCATTACTAATGTCGTAATACTATGATACTCTCTCGGTCCATCAAATCATCCATGGCATGACATTATACAACGTTTTCTAACCCTAGGACCTTCCTTTCCTTACCCCAAAACTCACTCACCAGAAGCTCCAAGGCTCTTACCCTATGGTACCGCACACAAATACCCTCATCTACCCCCTACGACACCATAACCTGCGGCAATATACTGCGCAACAATTCCAATACAAGCGAATAGCGGGACTGTGATATGCAGGACAATGGCAAGGGACGGCGCGTGGATGAGTCGCAGAGCCACTCCTCTATCCATTAGGCTGCCAGTGGTGTGAAAAATCTGCCGTAAAGGCCGATTCACCTTCAAACACTCTTCCCGATCTCCATTACTTAGGATTCCACTTTCCAATCCTGCGGTATCTACATTTCTTTTCTCCCCTTCATACCGCATGCCGAATAGCTTGTGACTTCCCAAGCGGGTTCCTCGCAGGAAGAGATCATCCGAATCTCTTCAGCTGGCTCACGAAAAGCGGATTGCAGCCTACACCCACTCTCAAAAGTGGGGAAACACCTCACACCATCATCGCTACCGTACCAGTATTGCAAGCGCCTTTCCCCGCTCCAAGCCTTCTACTGCATTATAATCATCACAGCCTCCGTAGGCGCCTTTGAGCTTGTCGCTCGATTCTTTCTCTTTCGTGAATACACTTGTCAATTTTAAATATAGCGTATGAACAAAACCCAAAAAGAGCCTGGAGGAAATCGGGAAAACTCTTCGGGCGCCTGACGTGCGACTGAAATAAGTGCCCGCTGTGTTCTATTGATGTTCCCCAGGTTCAATATTCAAGCCTTCTGAAATGTATTGGTTTATGAGTTTATTTAACTCACCATAACAATTTCAAGGTCCCATCAGACCAAGTTCAAGTATATCCCAACCCAAGTCCCCTCTGTGCACCCAACCTGATTCCAGAAATGCCAGAAATGAAAGCGCTCAAGCAGGAACAGTAATATCAAAGAAAAAGAAGAAAAGAAAAGTACAGCCGAATACCAAGAGCTATAGACAAAGAGCAAGGTTTCGTGAGAAGAAATTCAATAGTAACGAAACCCGGGAGGAAAAGAATAGCCAGCAACTCAAAAGTGACACGATCTCTCGCCGTGCACGCCGTGGATCTCGTGCCAACCCTATTCAAAGCCGACGAACCGTGGAGGCACCGAATACTACTAAAGCAGAACCCAGGCGATTTGTAGCTGTCGTAGGATAAATAAATGTAGAAGAGAATATCTAAATAGACAAACGATCCAGCGACAATCGGTCACAAGATCTCTGTCTCCGCCTATCAAACACAGCCGTGAGCCTTAAATCTCTTACCAGGAAAGGAGGCTAACATACACTGGCTGCAATCGGTAAAACCGTTCTTGACCATCCGAATTCCGGCCACCTATCCACCACTTCTCGCCCGAAGGAGGCTCCACAAAACCCTCCGTTGAGCTTGATGAGCTCCTTCGTTGTCTCGAAGAGGTGAAGTTGGTAGGTTGCTGCTGCTGGCTGCTGTTCGCGTGGACAGTGGTGGTAGCCATGGCAGTAGTTGAGGAAGGGGCGGCCGTTGAACTGCTTGTCGCAGCCGGGGTTTTTGGTCCCGCAGAGGGCTTTGATGAGGGTGAGGACGACGATGTATTGTTGGAAGAGCCCTTTGCCGTAGCGCTGTGTGCCCGGAACGCTACCAACAGATTTGCTAGAAAGGGTCTGTTGGTGGGCATGGCTCCTTTTCTCGACTATCTGACTTCTACCCTTCCTTCCTTCCCAGCTCCCGGCGGATTTTTTTTTTTTTCCTTCCTACTTAAATGTCCAGAAATACACCCCGTTCGCCCGATGTCGTTTTCGGTTGTGTTATGGATCCTGAGAAAGTGGTATCAGTTCCGGGAGTGCGTTCAGGAAACGAAAGATGCCGAGTTGCGAAGGCAAGGTAGGTGTGTGGGGGAGGGGTTACGGTGCCGGTAGCGAGAGAGAGGAAGGCGGAGGAGCAGAGTATGTAGTCTAGCGCGGCTGTTGTCTAGACGAGGATCGGGGGAAAACGGGATATCGGAAGGTTTAGATTCGTTCAGATTGTGACCGGAGAGATGAAACAGTCGCGACGTGGAGCCGACGGACACTTCAGGAATCCGATATCGACCTCCAGGGGAATAGGATAGCGCAGATACCGGTAAGGCAGAATATGGTAGACTGGAAAAGGTATAAATTTGGAGTGGAAAGGGAGTGAAAACGGTCTCTCTTTTTTTTTCTTTTTTTTCTTTCCCTTGTCTCAGGCGCTGCCAATAGCCCAGTTATTAGGTTTAAACGAAGCCTAAAAGAGGGACGAATTATCAATGAATTCTTTTTTTATTTTCTCGGCCTTGAAGGATAGGCGGGTAGGTGGCAAAAAAAGCCTCTGGAGTTTGGCAGGAGGGAAGGAATGGGTTGAAGTAAATTAACGGGAAACAAAGTTCACGCAGAGAAATTTTGTTCCTGTGTCGGATGGATGGACGATATCAGGTTGGACTGGCCGGCAACCAGGTATGATATGGCGGTGTAGGCACTGTACCGGCATGGGCACTGTACTCGAGTACGAGTGGCACCGTGGTTTTGCATGCCTTGTGAGACGCAGGCCTCAGAGTCTGGGAAAATCGTGGGGTGAGTGAAAAATTGAAGGGAAAAAAAAATCACAATTAACGCTTATCTGATTGGTTCACGGGTCCATCTAATAGTCTACGGCTGTTGGTCCGAATAAGGGTGTCCGAACCTGTCTTCTCCCCCCAGAGATTAGAGTGAGACGATTGTTAGAAGGAACAACGGTGTGCGCATCAACTACTCCGTACAGGTCAATTCCTGCAACCTAAAGATTTTCCCATACATTTGGGTTGACATTAGATTTGACAATTCATTCTTAGACCCCGTTGTCTTCCTCTTTTTGCCTAGCGTCTTGGGCCCTTTTCAGGAAAACCTTTTGCACGGCTGTCCCACATCCCAACTTCGATCCAACAATCACTTCATAATAGCCCCCCCCGCCTCACCCCCAACTTCGGCAACATCCCACTTCCACACCCGCCATCGTAGCCTGGGTGCCTTCAGGAATATCACAATGGTAAATCCGACTGCATCCCCTTATACTGGTTCTCTCTCAAGAACCAGCTTGCTGATAACTACCCTGCAGGTTCGCTACGTTTCTTCCCATGGCCCGAAGTGAGTTGTCCTCTGCTCGAGCCCCGCCGGCTGGGAAAAGTGATTTACTGAGACTGGGCTCGCGGCTATAGATTGAGGCCTTCCTCCTTCAGCATCATGGGATATCCAATCAAGAGTCTCCGGCCTGTGTCCGTACACCCTGTCCAGGCTTATTTCGCCCTATCAACTGCTGACGCATTCCACCGAACAGTGGTATTAGTGCTGCAAGTTTCGCAGCTGTTGCTGGAGGCACTGTTCTCTTCATCCTTGAAGGAGTTCCCCGCGTTCAGAAAGACATCTTGCAGGTCGGGATTCCCTCTTTGCTATTTTTGGTGGCGAGGAGGTGCTTACTGGTTTGGTGCACAGAAACTGCCCTTAATCGGAAGCTACTGGACTGGGCGAGAGAAGCCCGCGTCGGACAACGTAAGGACCCTTCAATATCCCTCGTATATGTGTGGGCTTAGACCGACTAACTTCTGTTTAATTGCAGCCATTCTAAACGATTCTTACCGATTGATCTTGTCTGTCTCCTTCCTTCGGCGGGCCGATAGTTCGGTATAGGCACAGGGCGCCACCCTTCGTATCCATAGCTGAAAGCGAGGACTGATGGAGAATGTGCGATGTGTATAAAACTTCTAGAATTTAGAGTTCATTGAATGCACCATATGCGCACCAAAGCTTCCTACCAACACTTGATACTCATTCTACCTTACAAGCTCCGCTCTAGAGCCCTCGTATTTGACTGCACTGTTCTATAAAAATCACCATGAGGGAAAAGGCACCTCCGGGGTCTCTCACCCGTAGAATTATGCTAGATCTGTAAATGCTTTCGCTATAGTACACTGGGGGGTCTGTTGTTGACGCTGCGTCCATTCGTGGGTGTGAATTGGTGATCCTAACCGTCGGGCTACCAACATAAGCTGCTTAACCTGACTTTTTGAAAAAGCTAGGCGCCCAATACTCCTTTTCATCCGCCTGGTCATCAAGCCAGACCAGAGAATCTGATAACAAGTCATCTACAACAGTTTGCACACGGGCTCCATCCCAACCGAGGTTAACTCTCAGCATCGAGTGGGTTATGAACCCGAGTACCTGAATCGCTTCGAGTACCGTAGACTGATCTGTGTTCAGCTCCTTGGGCACAGACCTGATCATTTGCCGCCGGCCAAGGTCGATCACAGCGAAGCCCGAGCTAAGTGGTTTCAGAGCATCAACGGCCCGCAGGATATCATCTTCGCTAACATCGCTGCTCCCTCCGATACTCTCGTCCTGCCTCATGATCCGTTCCCGTACCTCCGCAACAGCAATTAGCCCTCCATTTTCCTGCCTTGTTCTTCTGCAAACTTCCACAACTCTCACAGCCAACTCGAAATAAAAGTCGTTGACCGAAGTTCCTAGCATCTCAGCCCAGAAGCTTCCTCCTCTGTTTGATGAGCTGGCGAGGGGGTCGACGCCGATTGCCGTGCACATTCTCGCAAACTCTGCCCGGAAAGCCGGGTTTGAGCGGATGTCTTTTGCGTGAGTTCGAGAGAACTGAGAGAGCGATGCCTGAAAAACGGAGAGTTGTGTCGTGAGTTCATCGATGTGAGATTTTTGAAGCAGTTGACCGTGAGAAGCATATTGTTGCGAGGTCTGAGTGTTTCTGGTGAGGGCTCCGAGCCCAACGCCTTTCCGCATATTGAAGGCAGGGGAGGCGCGTGTGCGGGTACCGGTATGTGAGTTGGTTCAAGGCGGTTCGGGCAGGGGCTGAAGGACGATAGAGTATCATAATATCATATGATGGGAGCGAAAAGGACAACCCATACCTGTGGCTTGTGGCCCAAAGCTTGAGAGTTACCCGGTCACTTCTGTACGACCCACCATCTCACGAGTCGATCGGTTCTGTTCACTTTGCTACGACGCCGTTCTCGGGTACCGGTAATGGTAAAGTTGCACGCCTTGTTGTGCTGTGCTGTACGGAACTCGAGTGCATGTACTGTACCTCCCAATGATGTGCTGGAGCGCGATATAAACGATAGGTTGTCAGAATAGTGATGACTGGCATTTTCGCTTCCTTGTATGATAATATTGGCCTGATACGGCACCGGTCCTTAGTTATGATACGCCTCGGTCGAGTACCCGTACCGGTACCGGTAGCCCACGGAACGATCGACACTTGTTACCCGGCTTTCCTCGACTCGCAACCTACCGTACAAGGTCCCAGTTCTGCAAGAGAGCCAAACATACAGCGGCAACAGCCCAAATAGGTGTATCCCACAGCAATCCTGGGCCAAATGGCATAAAGATCCGACCCCTCCACCGCTCACTAAAGTCTAATCTGGGCCTCCCCCCCCCCTTATAGCTGATTCGGCTAGATTACAATTTAACGCCGCGTCATTCCAGGCCAAACTCCCAGAGCCTCCTCCTCTGACTACCGTCCTAACATCCTCCTCCATTTAGGACCTTGCTCTTCTCCCCCCTCTAGTCCTTTACACACGATATGTATCATGCTTTCTTTGCTCTCTCTTTCAAAGGGCAAGGGTCCACGCGATGGTCGGGGGACTTTATCTACTTCTCCGGATCCTGAAGAAGCTACCGACCAATCTAGGGTGGCCTCCCTGAATCGGGCTCTCGAAATTTTGAACGAGCTGTTTCCGAATGTTGACGTTGACGAGTTCCGCCATATGCTCTCCACCTATTCTGAGGAATCACGATTACATGTTATTACGGAGGCGCTGTTAAAAAAGTCCAAGGATGGGAGGGTTCAAAAGCGAGTTGTGGAACCATGGGAGAAGTTTAGGCCTAAGGCATACATAGATGCTGCGAAGAACGTTCTGTGAGCTATCCGCTCCCTGTTCTATTTAATACTTCATTATTTATTTATTTTAAAGAAAACATCTCTAGCGCAGGGTTTTCGCTAATCACTACCCCGAGCAGTTACAAGGAGTTCAAAGGTCTATCTCACTCAACAATCAAGGCTGTGATGGCTGAAAATAACTCCGACTACGCCCGCTCCCGGCAGACTCTTATGGACATTGCCGACAAATCCTGGCGGTTCTCTTTCGCTAATTTATTTCGTGGAGCGAGATCTGTATTACCTCCCGAGCCAACTGCGACAGCTACGGGATGTAAGGAGCTGGACGATGAGCTTTTCGCTTTGGGCAAGCCTACCCGGGACCGACAGGTGGACGAGGATCTGAAGGTGGCAAAGCTCCTCAATGTGGCTGAACATACTGCTTCATCAGAGATGGTGGAGTGCGAGTGCTGTTTTGGGGACTATCCATGGACTGAGATTGCATCGTGCTCGGACGGCCATTTCTTCTGCCACCAGTGCCTTCTCCGGAGTGTCCAAGAGGGTTTATACGGACAAGGAAGAAATCTGTTAGGAGAGGTGTGCTCTGTGCGGTGTTTGTCTTGCTCCGCTTCTCCGCCATGTGGAGCCTTCGTGCCTCACGAATTACTGTTGGCTGTCCTACCACCCGATGCTCTGCATTCGCTGGAGGACAAGACAGCGGCGGAAAGTTTGGAGAGATCTGGTTTGGATCTGGCAAGGTGTCCATTCTGCGCATATGCAGAAGTAATTGCTTTGGAAGAGTACCGAATAAAACGCAGTGTCAAAGTAGCCCTGCTTGCTTCCGTTCTAGTATTGTTCTCTATTGTTCCACTGGCGTTGGCGGTTTTTCTCATCCTTGTCCTTACAATGATCACGCTGCGCTCACCTTTCCCGCCCAGAGAAACATCAAGCTCCCTCCGGTGGATCCCCTCATTAACTGCTTCCCGAGAACGAGTTGAAAGATCGATAGGTAGGATCCAGCGGAAACGGCGAGGCATCTTCTTTAGATGCGGAAATGTTCGGTGCGGTAGAGATAGTTGTCTAGAATGCGGGAGAGAATGGGCCCCGTTCCATAAGTGCTATGAGAAAGAGGAGGATAGTGTGAGGATATATGTAGAAAAGGCAATGGCGGATGCTATCAAGCGGACGGTACTGGCACCTTTTATCCACCTTTGGTTTCCATGCGATATGAATTCGATGTCTGTATGGGGCTATCATGAATTGAGTGCTAACCTTGTATAGTGTCCGGTTTGCCATATCTCGTTCGTAAAATCTGATGGCTGTAATAAACTCACTTGTCCATGTGGCTATGTCATGTGGTATGTTTGTCTCCCCAACTCTTACGTTGCTATAAAGCCCTCTTGTTCACCCGGACCATAATATCGTCGTGCTAATCCACAGCTGCAGCTATGTTTGTCGAGCAGAGATAGGCAGCGAGAGCTACAAACACTTCTGTCAGCACTTTCGGCAAGTGCCGGGGACCACATGCGACGAATGCGACCGCTGCGATCTATACGTACAAGAGGACGAGGCAGCAGCTATCGATCGCGCAGCAGAGAAGGCGGAAGCAGAGTATTTCCGGAAGTTTAAAAAGCCTGAAGGATGGAAATACAAGAGAAGAGATACTCGGGCTTCTAGGTCTAGGAAAGGTGATTTCATCCTTTCATTACGCAACTACCCTACGAGTACTTTATGAATGATATACCTGCACGGTGACTAACAATAGCCCGCCAAAATCATAGGCGCCAAATTATCTTGGCCGGAAGCCATAGATGCATACATAGACGGCATCCTAGATTTGATCCTTGCTTAGACTGACCGGCCAGTTGCAGAGTCTTCCTTTTCCCCTGTATCCCAGTACTATTCCATTTGTCGAAGATGTCAAGGTATCAGGTATCACATTTATGGCGTTGCGTTCTTTTCTCTGGATTTTTGTTTTTCTGGAATCCAGAATTTGGGTCAGGGCTACTAGTATGGGTTCTTTGGTTAGTTATGATAGCTCTTATCGGTGGTAAGAGTGAGGTGGCGGGTGGACAAAAGATTAGATAAGCCGAGGTGCGGGCTGAATTAGTAATGAGAAAATCGTCAACGAGAGTTCGTACTGTACTCCGTACGGATTGAGAGTTTTTATACCAGGCTACAGCTGCTGTATGCCTGGTGGCAGGCGTGGTATCAGCCAAAATCCTATCTCAGGTATTGAGCCATAACGAGTGGCTGGGGCTCGGCAAAGGCGGCCGACGCCTTCCCTTACCATTGGTGGGGTTCGGTGCACATTTAGGAGATTTTGCCCCTGAATTGTGGCCCGCCCCGCCGGCTGTTAGATGCGCCCACAGCAATTTCCTTCTGGAGAATGGAGTACCGGTATGATACCGTACAATACTGCATGAATCTACGGCCTCTGCAAAGCCGGGATCTGGTGACTAGGGTAGAGAGGGTCAGACGATATTTCTACACGCTTACTTACCATACCTGAGTTTTCAAGCACAATCCTATCGTAGGAGACTTTGTCGGGTATCGTCTGGGTCTGGTACTCGTACAAGTGCTCGAAGACTCTAATTGCTGATATTACTAGATCCGAGCTTTCCAGAACCCGGCAGAGAGTGGAGCATGTTTCTGTGAGGTTAGACTACTCGTGCTGGTATATTTGTTTGCTTTAGGATTGGCCGCCACCGGTTAGTGTTGACCCTGGTTCTGTGTACTGCATCTTAGTAAATGGCACTGGGGTGTTTCCAATGTTAGAAAAGTTGGGATTTCCTAGCATACTAGAGCTAGTAATGTAAGCTTGGCATAAATAAAAGTGGTTGGTTTACCTAAAAATTGACATTACCTTACAGATAGCATTCCTGGAGGTAGAGACCAAGATTAGGAGGTCCACAACAGGTTTTGGTAATAGTGAAGGAGAGAGGTATAATCCATGTAAAATATGAGTAAAGTCACTTGTGATAAAAATCAACCAAGATTCCTGATACCTTTATCAGAAAAAACTTATTCTTGTATCAGAGGTACTGGCTACACATCCTGATACAATCTAGAAGGATTTTGTATATAGTGCATCCTATACATCCTATACCTGAGCACCAAGTCTGGTTGTGTACTATGTATCCCTGAGGTTAGGTTAGGTAAAGTACCTAAGCAAAAGTCTTGGTGAAAAAGGTGGGTAAGTGAGGATGATGTGACCTAACCACAACAGTGACCGATCAAGTTCTCCCTACCACATCAACCATGGCACCCAAGACATCATGCAAAGAGCTCACTGGAGTTGAGAAAGGCATGACCCTTGGTTTCTTCGAGGGTTTTTAGCAAATTTCAATAGTTAGCCAGATTGTTGGCTGCTCATGGTCAACAGGCCAGAATTTCCTTGCCTAGTCTCTCCAGTGGGGTTCAATTGAAAACCTCCCACCTTCTGGTCGACCACCCCCATTTTCCCAGAGAGCCAAGAGATCATTAGTTCGAGGGGCCAAGCTCTACAGAGATTGGAGTAGGGAGAAATTGCGGTAGATATTGGCTCCCAATGTCTCAGTTTCTATAATGGACTGGGCTCTTAGGGAGAGTGGTATTAAGAAGTGGCTAGCCAAGAAAAGAGCAAAGCTTTCACCAGAGCAAGCTCAGAAGAGGCTGGCCTGGGCTAAGGCATACTAGAATTGGACTGCAGAGGAGTTTGAAGGTGTTATTTGGAGTGATGAATGCTCAGTGGAAAAGAGTAGGAATCCAAAGCAAAAATGAGTATTCAGATCTGCTTCTGAAAAGTGGTATCCTGTTAAGAATCCTACCGAGTAGGACCTAGTGACAGGTAATGATACTTCTCTATAAGATGATAGCTCTCAGGCCTGCGCCTACGCGATCCTGATAGTCCAGTCCTTTGACTACTATCGTATTCGCACCTATCTTCTTATTCTTCTTAGTCCTCGATTTGGACTTAGTCGTTCGACGTGGGAGGAAAAATAGTTTTCTCGCTTGAGAGGAAAGACAATACTTGGATTTCTTAAGATAAATCTTAAAGAGCGTAAAGGTAGGTTTTATTGATAATAACTTAAAGGTAGGATATAAACAAGAAGAACGTGTGAAGAGCTCATACTCAGGGTCCTAGTGATCCTTTATATAGTCTCTCTTCACCTAGCGTGACTCATACCTCGCGTCACGTGAACCCTTTGACTCATAACCGTGAGTCATATGAAATCCATCAGACGACTCCTATGA